GTAGGGAAAACAGTTACAATATAGACATTAAGCAAGCAAGACATAGCCATGTGCTCTTTAATTGCACCTATACTCTATAAAACATATCTGGTAGTTTCCTTTAGTAGAGGTATATATGAAATATTTAATGCAGGAACTACTTTATATATAAACTGTCTATTGAAATTCTGTAGAAATCCTGGCGTCAATAAATTTTGTCTTTGTATCAGGTGACTTGTGCAGCTCAAACCCTTGTGGAAAAGCTTTGGCTAAATGTGTTGCTTTACATAGCATTTTTAACTGCCTGTGCGACTATGGATTCTACTACAGAGACAAGGATTGTCACAAAGGTGAGTTGCAAGAGCCCAATCTGTATTTTTAGTTACTTCACAGATAACTGCTCAGGAGAATTTTTCTTCCCATACTCCTTGTTCTCATGTTATAACTGAAAACATAATGAGTCTGGGAAAGCGACTGCTGAATAATGCCTTGCTGTGCAGACAGCCACTGCTACAGTGACCTAGATTGTTATCTCACAAAACAGTAACAGTCAAAGAGGTTAGTGGGTTAGGAAAAGAAGGTGAGTTCTCTGTCAAGGGTGCTGGAGATGAAAATGAGTGAAAAGCAGGAAAAAATGCAAGTGTAAACCTGACATCAATATTAACAGCCAGGATTTAAAATGGCCCAAACCCATGAAGACCTTTGAACATCTGGCTTGATTTTGCCTGTTGCTAAACACTCATCACAGTCCTGTTGCAATGCATTGCTGAGATGCTGCTGAAGGCCAAGCGCATGAGCAGATGGCGCTTCTTATTTAAGTGCCAGCAGGCAGGATTCTCAAATTTACTTGTGAGCCTCAAGAAGCAGGTAGGCACTGCATTGCTTTCTCAGATGTGGTGAACTACTTTAGCTGCTTAGCAGCTGCAAATTTGGAGTACTTAATTATAACTATTTTCTCACTACAAGCTGTAACACCTCAGATGGAGTATTTTGGTAGCTTCAGGCTATGCTTATGGTTTAACGTTATTCAGTTTCATAGTCTGGCTGGTTTGGTTGAGCCCAGGATGCTGCCTGTTTCCCAGGGAGCCAAAATATGTCCCTCATTATGGCTGAATTGATTGAGCAAACATTTGTCCCCTACTGAATCCCTCAGTATATGAAAAATAACACTGGCTGATTTCTGCATTGTATTTCCCCACCTCTGAAGGCTGGAGGACTCTAAGGTGAAATCTGACTTACTTGAATGCTTTCTAATTAATTAATATTTTCTGTTCTCATTCCAGCGAAAATATTCCCAGGAGTCATTACACTGACAGAATCTTACAGTGATGGTGTTCAAGTTGTAAATTCCACACAGTATGAAGCAGTGTTCCAAAATATAACAGAGTTTGTGAGTAATTAATTTTTTTTCTTTATATTTAATGCTATCCTAAATGTCACACAAAGGCTATACATGCTGCCTTTAAAGTGGAGACTAGGATAGTTTGACTTTAGAAATCTACTTCTTTCACAACACACTTCACACTAGTTTAGACCTATTCCTGAAAGACTTAAATTTTGCCCTCAGATGAATACACGCATGGCTTTAGCTGAAGTGAAGGGATGCACCTGAAATAAGTAATACCTGCATTTTCAGTGCCACTTCTGTTCTAGGAAGTTCTCACATAAATTGCTCATCTTTCACCATTCCCTCTCCAGAAACCACAAGGCTGAGCGAAGTTTTTCAGCCTATTTAGTTTCTGATCTCCACTATTTGCTGAGGGCTCAGTAATACTCAGTGTTATGAGCAAAAATGAACACCTTTCTTTTTTAAAGCAAGCTGTTGTTGCCACACAGCACAAACTTTTCAGAATGGCTGTCTAGCTGTGTGTAAATACCAAAATAATAGGCATTTCCTATAAGCATACCAGTATTGCTATTTTAGTGCTATTAGTGAAATGGTTATTACGCACATTTTGAGCATTCTGTGAGTATACATAAAATCTTGTAATGGATTTCCTAGAGAAATAAGAACAGTTTAATTTTTACTGCCGTGTTGCAACTAGTGGATTTGCTTATGTTGCTTTCTGAAAGTAAGGAGCAAGGTATCCAACTCCACCAGACAGCTGATCAAAAAATATTCACCAAATACTATTCAGAATTCATAAAAAATGGTTATAAAATTCTTCATGCTATTATATTGCTTCCTATGAATGTTTCATCAGAAAGTAACCAAAAATTGCCTCTCCAGAATTCTAAAAAATATTTTCCTCATTTTTTTGTCCAATGTTTTCTCATGACAATCCTACAGAAGTATATGATATGCAGCACTAGAATAGATACATAGTAGTATGCAAAAGTGAAAATAGCACAGAAAATTTTTACTTTATCACAAAGAAGGATAGTTTATCTTTCATTTCAGTTGATTTAGACATCTTATCCTTATCTCATGGTGCCTCCTGCATGTGTAGCAGCTGGAGGCAGCCACCTCCACCAATTGTTCCCTGCTTCACATGGGATGAGGGAGTGCAGTGACTTTTCTACTGACTCCATACAAGCCCCAGTGCTTTCATAAGTGCTGTGCTTCTGCCCACAAGATCAACCCCTTCAATCCAACTTCACTGCATCTTAAGGATGCATGCCATCTGTAAAGATGCTTACTTCTCTCTCTTCCCTCTACGTGTACATAGGTTGGTACCACAGAGAGAGCCTTCTAAGTGCTTCTAAGAGCAAGGGAGTATCTGTAGCTATCCAGCCAGTCAGCCCTAATGCACTGCCTGACTTTCATTCAACTTGTGTGTCTCCATCCCTCAACTGCTCTCCCACACTCGCTGTTCTACAGCACCATCCCACGGCTCTTCTTCTGCAATACCTTGCACCATGGATGTGACAGATCAGCTTGCTTCTTTTGTGCCTATAGTAGCATGTTCTGGATTAGAACTGTACAGCGGAAGTCTCAGTGGTCTATGTTTGTGCTTGCCCTTAACTCCAATTAATTTATCTTGTTTAGTTTGAGGATGCCTTCATAAATGTATCAGGCTTTGAACAGACTGTCATCGTGAAAATTGAGTAAGTTTTCTAGTTTCTTTTTTTGCACACTATATGCTTCCCATGCATCACATCTTAATCTGCTCCCCATGGAGTAGTCAGTTCACGAAAGGATATGGGATTATTTCAGTTCAGTTCATTATGCCTTCTGTTAAAGGAGGACATTCTTTTCATATTTTTACAATTTCTGGGATGCTGGCCCCATTTTTACGCCATGGTTTTCCAATATGTCTGTGAAGTGGGCTGGCTGAGACAGTTCCACAGTGGATCTCCCACTTTTAGTACCATGTAGGATATAGCACTGTGCCATAACTAGCAGTTCCTGGGGTATCTGGCACCTCTCTGAAATGGTAACAGTTAACTCTGAGGTTCCTATGAACAGATCCAACTTGGAGTCCCAGTTTAATTTAAGAAACACCTGCATTACAGAAGCCCACTGCATCTCATTGTGCATTTGCTGGTCTGTCCTGATGGCAAGCTGGGCAAAGATGTTATTGAATGGGCTGTGGTGACTGTAACCATGGACACAGGGCCTTTGCTGCTCTAGGCAGGCACTGTAAGATGTCCCTTTCTTTCCATCCCCATCTGTTACAAGCTTCTCTGTGAGTCCTCCCTAAACCACATAAAGCAAAATCTGGCTTGCTAGCACATACACCAGTGTAAACCCATTCACCAAACCCCATGGATTAAGCAGTTCAGCAGACTGTTGTTCTCACAGAGTTGTGAGGGCAGTAACTCCCAGCAGAGTGGTTGTGACAAACACATGGGCACAGTAACATCTTAAGGCACCACAGCAATCTACTGCTTAAAGATATTTGTGTGCATATCCCAGCAGCACAAAGTACAGCTGAAGAACTCAGTAGTCACTGCTGTTCTCCACCTCACCCCAGAGAGATTGCTGTCCAGCTGAACCCAATCCAGCTAGCATGCAAAGATGCCTCTAAATTGCAAACACACCCTTCTGAATTCTTTGTGGTCATACCTTGAATGATCCTCACCATGCTTCAGGATGGGTTCTCCACATCATGCCTGGATGACACCCCAGGCTGATGCAAGCATGTAAAGGTTAGGGTCTGACAGATGTGGTCTGCCACACAGCAGGTGGCTTGGGGTTAGACCAGTAAAAAAATATCAGCTGTGTGCCAAAAGTACACAAAGGGGCAATGTTGTTATTAAATCCAAAATCCTTTGCTTACCAGCTACCTATTTACATCTGGATCTGCTGGAAAGATGGCCATTAATGGATTTGTAAATATGACTTGAACTCATTCTCAGGTGTCTTAGCAACTACCTACATTGTGGGATGGAAGACGCTAGGGGAGAGAGGGAGGTTTGGCAGAAATCTTCTCTTGTCTTTGGATCTAGCTTGACTATCCATATGGATTATATGTGGCTTTAAAATGATGTTATATATACTTTTCAGACCTCTAGAAAGAACCAGAACTTCTCCTGCAATGCGTGTAACAGTGACAAACCTATTTATGGAGAGCTCTGATGTAACCAATGAAATGATCATTTCTGCAATAAGTAGAGCAACAGAAAATTCAGCCTTTGTCTCTGAGTACAATGGTATGTAATTCCTCGCTGTGGAAGTAAATAATCTGTAGAAACAGAAGTTCATCTCTTCAAAGCTGGTTAGAACATTCCTATGTGCAGCAAAGCCCATCAGGGCATAAGCCTTGTTGATTTTAAAGAGCTGAATGTTCAATCTTGGATAATTTTGAAGACTCAACCATACAGAGCTGGGAGTTCTGTCTTATTAAGGCTTTCTACTTCCTTTGTAAAGAAGAGAAGGAAAATACTCACTCCCAAGTAGGCAATGGCATGTTAGTTTTAAGTGTTAAGTGTCTGGAAAAATCAGGACAAAATATATACGGATATATATTGAGCTTCTGAGAATAAGACAGTATTTTACTGGCAAAATAGGGTAAAACTCTATATGACTTCTTTCATAATTAACTATGGTAATTGAAATGAGGCCTTAGTGATTAGCTGCTGAGCTACATGATTCATTTGTCTAAACCAGTAAAGTCTTGCATTACTAGAAGTGTAATACTTGGAGAATTATTTTCTAAATAAAATAAGTTTTTTTTCTTTACGTGCTGCTGTTTTGAAGTCAGCTTTCACAAAAAGTGTAGCTAATAATTAGAGTAAATTTTATGGCTTATAGCCTGATTTTGGTCTCTGAAGGTATCTGTATCCACCTTAACCATGACATTTCCTGAGTGCTGGTCCTAAATGTGAGGAGCAAATAGAAAAAACCTGAGAGGTCACAAAGCACCAGTGCAATCTCACCCCTTCACTGCATGCCACCCACTGAGGTCTGTAAACCACTCCCACCACTGGGACACAGATCTAAAGAGCAACATGGTAGGCAAATGGCATACTAATATCGCAGATGAAATGAACTGCGTGGCCATAAATATTTATATCTGTGCGGAACTGTATGAGATCTCGGTCTCACAGGTCAGCTGTAGAAAAAAACCTAAGAGAATAGTGCTGGGGTTTTTCTATAGGTTTTTTTAAGGTGAGTCAGAGAATCAGTGTTCAGAATATGAATCTATGGGTAGAATTTCCCTTTTCATGGTCTGGGAGGCAGGAAGGTTTGGACGCAGTTGTGGGAAGCCAAGAAACAGAAGGTCAGAAGGTGTGACGGAAACAGGACCTTAACTGGTAAAGAATAAGGGAAAAGATAGGATCGAAATGCTTGTAGTATTGATGTCCCCAAAAAAGGACTTGCAAGGTTTTTTTCAGAATTGCTAAATAATTGATTTATGATTTACTGAGCAAGTGCACTGCTTTCTATGAAATGATATTATTAGTACTCAGGTTTGTTTCCTGACTGTTTCTCTTTTAAAGCTGCAAAATATTGTGATGTTTTCAATTGTGATAATGATACCACAACCTGCAAAGAAAATGTGTTTCCAGAATGCCAATGCCGAAGTGGTTTCTCAAAGACAGAATGGGATGTTCGTTCTTGCTCAGGTAAGAACTTTGCTGCTTTATCTATCCGTGAAAGGCTGACCCTGTCTCAGTCCCTTTTTGAAAAGGGCACTCCGCAAATGTGCTGACCTCTAAAAATCAGAGTGTCTTATTAAGAACACCATAGAAACACATTCTCATGTTTCACTTTAGACACATCCATAATTCTATTAGTAGAATAAACTCCTAAAGTCTGAGAAAATTGTCACTGAAACCAGTGAGTGGGCAACTCTTTAAATGCCTTGTTAAACTCTTGGTAAGAATTGAAAACTAGATAGGTAAAGGATGGAACAAATTGAATCCTATATTCACAGCCTCTTGTGCTAGGACGTATTTTGAGAATAAATTCTCATGTTACCTGGAGGCAGCTATAGGGACACTGACAGAACTGGACATCTCATGATGCACTAAAACATTCTGTTAAAGCTCTGTCCCTTGTTGGTATTTCTAGGATTGCATTACCTGTGTTTAGGCAGGTTTTTCTGGGTAAAACTATTCATGTGAATTTTTAGAAAGTTAGTTATTGAGGTTTTATTTGCTTTTGAATCTTTTAATGAGTATTCTGTTTATATTTTTAGCTATCCCTCCCAGCCTTGAGATGTTCCTTATTTTCTTCTTATGAAAACTGAATTTTTCACACTACAGAAAAAACCTATAAGATACCAGATTTTAAGAAAAGCAACAAATGTTGCAAACGCTCATGATAAAATCATGAAAGCTGGCTACAATAAAGGCCAGTAAGATGTGATCCAGTGTAGATCTTTGTGGCCCCTAACCTGCCTAAAACTGATCAAGTTTTAAATCAGTTGGAATACAGATCATCTTCTGTGAGATCAAACTGCAGGTCATTGCTTGCCTGTGTAAGATGTAGCCTAGCCAAATTTCCATTCTGATGAACTCGATGATTTTAAACAAAGACTGTTTCCTTCTAATTTTGTGCTTCTGTATCTCAGTTTATGTTCTACATAGGTATAGCCCTAAAAAAAACAAAGTTCTGTGCGTTTACAGTGCAATTAATGAAAAAGGGGTGGTGGATTTTCTCCAGTGTTGATTTTTGGGGGGCTATCTTTAATTCACTCTCTATTTTTCCCTCTGAAAATACAGATTGCGATGAAAACTGTTCTGCAGAAGAACATAAGTACTGTGCAAAAGAAAATGGGGTTCCAACATGCAAATGCATGCCTAACTTCAAAGAGAAGGATAGTAAATGTGTATCGTGAGTATTCAGCTTTTTCTTGCATTCCTGTGTTTTAGTCAAATACAGGGGCAAATAACATCTAGCACTGGGTCACCCTTGACCTAGAAGAACAGGCTGCAGCTATGTTAATCAGAGAAGTGCCTAAGGTAGTTAGCAGGTGGGCAAATTCCCATGGTGTCACAAGTTATGGCATTTTACCTGCTTGGCATTAGCTGTTGGTGGGCACTCATAATACCTCAGAGGAAAGTTAAGGAGTTCCAAGGTCATTCATGAGTCAGTGAGGAGGATAAACTATGGCATGCTTATTTTGTGGGTTGCTCACATAAACATAAACTGTTCCTTCAGAGTAATTGAGCCATGAGAACTCACACGCTGAAGAGTTTAGTAAGCAGCAGGTATTAGAGCAAGACTTGCCCTAAACTCCTGGGAAGTTTCCACTGGTATCAATAGGGACTGTTTCCTGATGACTTTAAAACCTATGTTATTTTGTCTTAGTTTTCTCTCTTTGGGTATTTCTGTCAGGTCAGGATCTGAACAGAGCAGTGGTGTTTGCTGGTGAAGCTGAGTAAGTGACTGGTGGTGCTCTGTTCCCATAGATAAGCAGAGTGCCCTTGCTCCCCATATCCATTAATTCAGCTCTTGTAGTTATTGCTGCTATACACTGAACATTTCCTACTATAAAGCCAATATATTTTAAAAATAAGGAACTAGTATGGGAGGAAGATGAGGTCCTTATAGATCTAATATTGAGGCTTTTGATAAAGGCAGTGGATGGCAATTTCAAGTGACTCAGAGGTGTAGGGTTTAGCTCTTCAGAGAAATTAGGCCCTTTTAACATTTTTCAGGCTGAGAACCTGAAACTTTGAGCCAAGCTCACCAATCATTCTGAAAATCTCAGATTGTTTTACTCTAACAGTGAAACTAAAGAATTCAGTATTAAGATACCTTTAAAGAAGAAACCTGTAATTAACACACCTTGCAGAGAAATTGCTGATAAAAGGTGGAAATATAGTGTTGTTTTGTGATCATCTGCTTAATGACATTATCTTTCTTTTATTTCTTTCCCGTTTTATCTTTTTTCTCTCATGTAGTTGTCCAGTGGGCTACTCTGGGGAGAACTGCAAGAACAGTAAGTACAAGAATTTATAATTTTTAATTAGAGCATGGAAAAATACCCAGTAATTTTTAATCTGCTTGAGATATCAAAAATAATTAGTAGTAGCCTTTAGGGGTGCCACCATCCTGTATGGATAGCAGGAAAATATTACCAAAAAAAAACAAAGAGTGAAATTTCATTGTTGCCTGGAAGTGAAAATCCTTCTTGAAACTCATGTTCAGGCAGTAGCATTTCCTCTAATGATCTCTTCATTAAGCCCAGCAGTTTTTAGTCAAACACAGGTTATTTGACAGAAAAGCATTTAGTCCTCATCTAAAGACATGTAATGCTGATCTCAGCACCACTAGTGGATTAGTTTCTCCTGTAATTAATCACTCCCGCTATTAAAATGTCAGTGGATTACTCTTATTTGAGATGTTTCTGCTTTAATATCCAACCACTGGTTCTTGTTTGTGCTTTACCTTACAAGCACTGCATAGTTTCTAGTACTTTATACCAGTCAAGAGATGATGGCTTTGACTGTGTTATTTCGTAACTGTTATCTTCTGGAGAAGCCAACCCTAACTTGGGAAAAGCATTTTCCCTTTTCTGAGTCAGCTTTCACTGCACCTTCTCCAGTTTCCACCATCACACAGATCAGGAGAGGACATTCTTCTTGTCTCCTAGTGTTTGCATGGGCCTAAACTCAGAACATGTAATACAGTCAAAGGCAGGTTGAAAAACAAACAGTTATGGTTCTTCACTTATCACAAGTCCTTTGGCTTTATTTGAGCAAAAGGTATCTCCTCATGTGGCCCTATAGAGACTCACATTGCTGTATTCTTAAATACATACATGTTTAACATACCTGTGTCTGCAGCTATGAGATCTCCTCAAGGGTTTCTTCTGGTTTTGCTTAGAAGTTTTGGGTGGTAGTTGTAGTGCAGCACAGTGAATCTTGCCAGGTGTGAAAGTTTGGCAGGAAGGATATTTTTCCTCACATGGAACATATTTTTCTAGAGAAAGTTTTGCAAATTGTAAGACCTTTTTCATAAAGCAAATGAAAATGCTAAATTGGCACAAAATCAACACATTGTGAATTTAAACATGAATTTGGAACCTGCTAATAATAAGTTCCATTAATAACCTCATCTTCTCCATATGGCACTTGGTGGGTACTGATGTAAAAAGTTTGCTGAGCAATAACCAAGGATACTTTACACGTGTGTTTGGCATAACTTTCTTTTGATAAATAATTTTCCCTCTGGTCTCAATGCATGCACCTATGATTAAATGTGCTGGGTTATTCCAGTACATTATTCCAGTGTAAATGGCAAACTCATAAATCCAGACTTGGATCTTCAAGTAGATACCACCAGTAAGATTAAGAAGCTCAGGAAACTGCCTTACTCTTCACATCCTTATCTTGAAATTATGCCCTGAAGGACACAGTTCTCTTTTTTTTTCCCTTACCATGGCTATGCAGAGCTAAGACTAGGTTCTAGTAGCAATTCCATTCATAGCTGATATATAGAAGCCATGTCTTCATCCCTGAGTCATGCTAGTTCTGCAGCAAGATCAGTGAAAATTATTTTTCCTTCCCAAACATTTATTTAGATATAGGATATTTATGCAGTGTTCATAATGCCACATAACAGACACCTCAGATCAGTGTGCCTTATGTGCCTAGGGCATGGGAAGAACTTATTTGACACCTAACAACATATTTTAGCAGCAATACTAGCTTAAGCAACCCCTACACCCTCCAGGTTGTTCCTGTCCCTCAGCTATAACTATGTGCGAAGCCAGTCAGTGCATGGGATTAAGGACCTGAGCTGGGATCAAAATAGCCATCAAGAAGAGATGGTCTTTAATGTAAATCAGTTCCTTAATTTACATCTTTTGGTGTCCACAGACAGTTGTACTGAGCCAGCACCAGAAACCTGGGAATGACTAACATCTTTCATTTTCTTCTTTCTTTCTTTAATGTAAGAGGACAGGGACAGGACTTGTTTTTCAATATTTGTCATGAATTTTCAATTGATGTTTTTTGTTTGTTTCTTTCTCTGTTTGTTTTTCCAGATGGTGAACTCATCGCTATAGTAGTGGGTACAGTGCTTGGAGCTGTTATCCTGATCTTAGTGATAGCAATCTCTGTTGTTTCAGTAAGGTAAGAATATTTCTTATAATTGAGTAGAAGTTGAATTGCTGCATGTTTGTAGAGAGCTAAGCAGAAATTCAGAGGTGGGGAGGGCTGTGAATGTGATTGCATGCCTAGTTGGGCAGACAAGTTCATTTAAGTCATGTAGCCATTAGAATTTGGTTTTGCCTGTGTGCTCTTCCCAGAAGTATTTATTCTCTTGCTGTGACTTGACTATGAAAGCTTCAGTCAAGTCTTTAAAATACACACTTGACCCATTAATCCTAATCCTGCCCTAGCCAGTACTGATACGGCATCTGGATGAGACTGACAAAGGATGCTGATAGTAGAAGGCTGTGTGGCCTGAATTAATACCCTCTTCATCTTTCCCTGCTAGTGCTTCAGTTCAAGGCCTGGCACACCCTTTTCAGCTCAGTACAGGTGGCATTTCCAGCCAAACACCTCTTTAAAGCTTGCTATTCCTAGCATACTAGCAAATTCCCAAGTGCAGTGACACCTCCTCACTTCTCTCCATGCAATAATACAGAAACACTGAAGGAGCTTCTTTGCTTTTGCTCTCTTTGCTGCCAAGGTAAAGATGCCTACAAGACCACCCATAGCAGGCATAGCTCAGCAGCAGGTGCACAAGCTGGTGCTGAGTGTATGTGTGTGTATGGACTTGTGATCACAGACAATTCAAATACATCATTTGAGTGTCCAGCATTAGCTCCATGCACAAGGGCAACTTTTCTTAACTGGGCCAAATGAATGCCTTGTTTCTTCCCCTGACTAGTCAGTTAGAGATAATGGTGGTTAAGGAAATTCCTTCAACTCTAGGAACCAGTTGAAAGAGGACAAAGTCCCCCTCTGTCTCTCCTAGCAGCTTAGCTCCGTCTCTGATAAGAGATGCCAAACTTTGTCCTCTATCATCGATAACAGGGGTTTCGCAATAGATATACTAGAAAAATCTGTTGCATGTTTCAGAACAGGACTGAACATTCAAAATAAGGTGGGAGCGCCTTAGGAACACTAAATGGTCTTTAAAAACCTCTTTTGTTCTTTCATTTCCTCTGAAGAGCCAAACACAAACGAGATCCAGAGAAGAAAAGCCTCATAAAGTCAGGATATTCCAACTCAAATACCTATGATGATCGACAGACCACTATGTTCCCCAGAGTCCAGACCACTTCTGGCCACATGAATGCAGGATATCAGCCAAACAACCCATGTGAGATGCGTCCCACAAATAGAGATCGTTTTCCAGAGAGGGATTACGATGATTTGGTAAGTGTTTCACAGAAGTCTATGGGAATTCCATTGCTGAACTGTAGTGCTGTGGGCTACAGATATTGTTGGAACTTAAACTCCCCTCTGTCCATCCTCCCATCATCTAGAAAGCCAAAGAGGTATAAAGGCAACCAAACAACTGTAGCTGCAGCTGAAAAAAATCAGCTTTTGCATTGATATAGCCCAGAGGAGCCTGTTCAGCAGAGGTGTGTCCTTAGCTGGAAGATGTGTTCTGAAAAACTGCCTGTGTTATCCTTGATGTCTGCAAGGGAACTGCAGAGGGAGCAGGAGCTTGAAAAGTACTACACTGCGATATGGTTGATTTACTCTGATGGGCTCTGCATGCATTGAGTAAATAGGAAGCACATTGTCCATTCAAATCTCATTTAAATGACATTTTAGCTCTGCCATTGTGGTGCAAGAAAATACCACTGTTTAGTGAAGAAAATCTGTTTAATTGCAATACGTTTACGTGTTCTGTAGAATTGAGGCCTGAACTGTGATAGAAGCAACACAGAAATCTGATGTTTGAAAAGAACCCTGCTCTTAAAAAGTTGCCAATTAAGAGAAGAAAAACATCTATTTGGTTAGATGATTAATCAGATTTACATGGATTTTGGCATTTCTAGCTTTCCAAAGATGTCAGCTTTTCACTGTTTGGTTTTCCTTGAGGGCTAGTTTGTCACAGAGAAGGCTATGGTGTGCAGTGTGCTACATGCTGAACTATTCTGAGAAAGGAGCATTCTGACCCACAGCTACTCTTCATTTCTTTTCTTTTCTTGTCCAAATTCTCTGTAGTACGAAGTATCACGGGAGCCTGAGGGCTTTAGGATGCAGAGGAGATACTAAATGACCATAGTGGTAGAAGGATGGACAACCACTGTGAGAATGGGTCAGACCAAAGAGCTTCACAGCCTCTCACCAATGCAGTTACTTCAGCAGAAGAGACAACAAACCTCATAACCGCTGACTGCCTGAAGATTTTCTAAAGGAAGACCCCTGCTTAAAAGAGATCAAGGACAACTCTCTGAAACAAGGGATAAATGAAGTAGAGGACAGTGAGAAGAAAAGGATTTTTAAGAGAATTAATGGGCTCCAATAAGCATTAGACTTCTTTCAGGAGGTCAGCGCATTGGCAAGAGAGTGAGTGTAGACAAGATACTGCAATTTTTACCCTGCTGTTTTTCAGTTCTTCTGAAAGGGGATGCTGAAAAATATCAGCACCCAGAGCTTTTGCCTGTATCTGTGCTCACTCCTTTTCAGCTACAGGCAGCCTGCATGGCTTTGGGCAGATCAAAACTGTTCTTCATGAGAACCTACCCTGTTTCTCTTTACTGTACCAGATACAGTCTTTTACCCCCCCTCAGTATTTCCTATCTCAAATCATTCAGTTCAGATCTCTGCTGATGTGCGTTGTGTGAGACAATGGTACTTGTCTGACCTTTTATGCAGCCTTCTTCCCAATACAGTGATAAGAAATAATATCTTCAAACAAACACTACTATTCTCCATCTTGCACAACTACATTAATTTTACATTCTCAGCTCCTGTGGCAAGTGTTAGCACTTTTTTTTCCTCTTGCACTCTTTACATTTTGATTGAATGATCTTACGCTTTTTTTCCTTTTAATTTCTTACATACACTCAATAACACTCTCTGTAAAAGAATCCACACATTACTGTACTTTACTGAGTGTGCATTATCTATTGACTCACATTAACGTTTCCTTATATATATAAAATATGTACATATATTTATAGGCTAAGTTCGCTTAAAGCATCATTTAATTCCATGTTATATTTTATGTTTCATTTTTTGTATATGCAGATTAACTTTTCCTATTAAACATTATTGTTTCACAGTACCAAGGCTTTCTTATGTTGCTGCTCAGTGGTGTGTTTGGTTTTTTTTACAACTCCAGAGACTATTTTATATTAAAACTTGTGCAGAGTTTAGATTCAAGTATATGCAGACTGGTTGCTTCCAAATTTCACTCAGAGATTACGATCAGAAATATTATTAAATCTTAATGAAGTTGAAATATTTATTGTTGGCTGGCACCAATTTTCTGTGATCACTTTTGGTGGGAACTGGGTAGTTAGAGCAGCTGGGTCTCCTTTGAAGATGCTGGACAAGCTGCTTTCTGTGATGGCAGCTTTGTGCTGAGGGCTCTGTTAATGTCCCACAGCTGAAAAAAGATGTGTCCTTCAGCTTAAATGAGAAGGTTGGGGGCCAGTGGCAGAGAACACTGTCTGTGGCTGTAGGGGTTACCAGGATGTGTATGCAGATGGGCTGTTCCAGTGCTCTCAGTGATCAACATCAGTTCCCACTCACCAGTTATGCAGTTGAAAACTGGAAACTAAATAGTCCTGATCTTTCTTATGTGGTTTCCCTAGCAAAAGAAGACAGACCCTGCTTTCTCTGAGCTGCCTGCAATGAGCAGTAATTTGGAAGTAGCCTGGTGAGAAAAGGTGCAATTTTCTCTCTGTTATTTTCCTGGGTTTTTGCTTTCTTTCTTCCAGATGACTCCTGTCCCCTTTGCTGCTGTCCACTGGCTGCGTGGCACAGTGCCTGCCATTGCAGGTGTCTGCAGGAGACTGGGTGGCCTTAGCCACCCTCCCTGGGTGCATGCATCTCACCATGCACTAGACGACCTTTACTGCATGTAAGCAGGGCTAGCTGGATTTAGCTATGCATGACACCCTTTTCAAAAGTTGGTAAAGATTCAGTCTTATTTTCTTAACTTTTCCTCTGAGAATACTCACCCATGTAAAAGCAAGGCATGGTAGCTACCCTCAGCACAGCAAAATAGGACCAGCTCCCTTCCCCAGCAGTTTCATTAATGTATGCCCCCCATGCCTGCTGCCCCCTTCTTTTAATTCGAGACCTGTGCATCCTCACCATTTCCTGGGTGGAGGAGATGCTCTTAGCTTCTAATCCCTCTGTTAAGTCCTTTCCTTTTCCCCTTTTTCCTGACTTTTCAGCAGCAGGAAAAGGTTCTGCTGACAGCAGAACATCCCAGAGAGTTTGCACAGGGTGAGACACTGAAAAACAGGCAGGATACAGGCAGAACAAGTGGCAAAAAGTCATGAAGCTCAGTGTAGATGTCTACTTCGTTCAGCTGGCTGCCTTTGCTTGGACAGCCCCTCCTCCCCTTCTTTGTATGGCAGACTGAAACTCGGGGTTATGTGGACTCTAATAAAAAGATTTCTCTATATCAAGAGTAAAAGCCCATGCAACATGGCCTTTCATTGGGGCAAACTGCCTGGTTTCATCAGCTTAGTGCAGAGAATCTTTAAAATACATGTAACTGTAGCCTGCTACAGAGGCACGTGTAAAGGCTTTTAAGTGTTACCTCTTATTCTTTTGGAAAGCAATAGGGGTTGGAAATAGAGTTGAAAGTTCAATGATAAATGAAACTTCAATGCAATAAAACTTTATTGAGAGTGTGAGATCTATATGCTTGTTGTCAGTAATAAAAGCAGCAAAAAATAGTCAGGTGTTTGCATCATTTAATTGCAGAGGAATGTTCATTGCTGCAGTTCAAAGCTAATTTCTGCAACTGCAGCCAGTTCTCATTTAGCCTGTGCTGGGGAGAGGCTATCAGATACTACTGCAGGCCTACACCTCTTTACCATTTCAAAGGCTGCTACAGCTATTTTATTCGAACGGGAATTCTCCACTGAAAGGGCAAACTCTCAGATGTTTCACATCTGTTTGGCTATTAGCAATGTGTGATTCTGTTGGGAAATATGACCATGGAAAATAGCTCCTTGTGGTGTTTTATGACTGCTGCTGTTTGGCTCATGCATTGTGTCAGCTGCCCATACTTCAAAATCCAACCAGGCATGGGAAAGGGAGCCAAGTGCGACCCTTACCCATCGGTGTGAGAAAGGACGTGCCTGCAGGCAGAGTGAGAGGCTTCAGGGAACTGTCACAACTCGTTTCACATCCTGGGATCTCCTGTCCATCTGCTTCCCTGAGATACAGGGTGTCCTACCAGCCGGTAACCTACAGAGAACGTGGGAAGGTGGTGCCACTCAAGTCTGCCACCCACTTTTGTCCTGACCAAAAATTACACTGGAGAGATTGCTTGGCACATCTGCACACGGTGTACTAGAAAATGCTAAAGGAGTTGGAGACAGAGGTTTGCATGGTTATAACACATATTTGTATGGGGGTATTTGGTTTGCTTAAGTCACACACCACTCTTGATTTATCTGGATACACCTGAGCATATTCAAGGGATATGGGGTAGTAGGGGAGGGGTATGGTGCTGTGGATGGCTGTGGGGTTAGAGCCTGGGTCTGGGCAGCTGCCTTAGGAGCTGTCACACAGTAATGTGATGGGACAGTGGGGTAAGGATGGGATTAATCAGGCCTGACAGATTGTGTGCTGTTTGGACTGCTCATGCCTGAAACTAGTTTCAAAAATGATAAATAAAAACCCTGCATCCAAACACCCCACAGGGAGGCGCAGCATCCAAACTTGCATGTGAAAGACAGCACTTTTCAGGTCTGAAAGTAAGAAGCATTTTGCATTTTTCTCATTACCTGCTGGTGAAAACCACTCCTTGTTTCCTTTATGAGACTGTTTTCATATAGATCCTGCATGTGACGTGCCATACTGGAGGCATAAACAACTCAGAGCGAGCAATGAAGGTAAGACCCATTGCAGACCCAAGGGCTTGGCTTTTTTCTTCTTGTGTACTTCTTTGACTTTGATGGCTTGGTGTTTTCAAGGTGAACAATAGCACTCCTTCCAACAGGAGAAACAGGGATAAGGGGAAATGAGTTTTTAAGTGCTCCCCTCCTTGCTAGGAACAGCTTCCCCAACAGAAACCTATGGTATGGGGAGCTTTTGGGGAAACACAGGTGATGGCTGAAGGGATTCAGGCAGACACGCCAGTAAACATCATTGTCCCCGGATGGTTTTGGGGAGACCACCTTGGCTTCATCCCAGGCCCAAAAGGGTGACTGGACCTCAGCACAACCCAGGGACAGAGGATCCTGACTGAAATTTGGAGTTCATTAGCCCAGGGCCATAAACTACAGAGAGGCAAATGAGTTGAGCTTTACTGCCTTACTCATTTGCCACTCCTGTGAGAGGAGGACTGTCATTTGTCAAGTTTAGCAGCTGCCAAGTTATCAATTGCTATTTTTTCTCATTTCCTACCCTTCCCCTTATTTTTAGCCCAGTAATGCTCCCTATTTCAAAGCCTTGTATCTGGTGTTTGCAGATGGACCAGCTTTGCTTATTAAGGGTTTCCAGGAGGATTAAATTGACTTCTCCCAGGTTTTGGGAGTGTGAGCTGATTTTTGCAGCAACTAGTCAAAAAAATGCCCAAACCCAGCCCTAAAAGCCCAAAGTGGTCTAAGAACAGGGAAGGCCATAAAACATGTCAGATCACAATTAAACAGGAAATAAATGGGGCTAAAAATAAGAATACGAAATTGCCTTACAAAGGATGTTCTGACTGCTGGTAAAAGGCTCTTTAAATACATCAAAGCCACAAAAGTAGCTAGGAAATTGGTAGAAATGCTGATGACAAGGGCATAAAAGGGACAGATGAACGTGATGAAGATGTAACAGAGGAGTTCAGTCATTTCTTTTTGGCCCTTTTTTACAGCTGAAGCGGCTGGGGAGCTTTCCACATCTGTCCCACTCTGCAGTGGATCAGCTGGAGGAGCAAAGCAATTGGAAGTAAAAGGGTAACATGGAGTAAAGAGGTAAGATGCAGTAAATGAAAGTAAGTGAAGTAACTACATAACAGGAGGTGTAAGGTCACATAGAAAAAGTGACTGTTAATAAGTGACCAGGACGAGGCAGCTCTGATCCAGGGGACCCAA